ATAAATATTTTATCTTAAAGCTTTAAAAGTAAAATAATTACCTTTTACTTTTATTTATATACTTTAATAATCTTATATAAGTTAAATTAGTAGCCTTAAACTACTAGCTACTTTTAATATAGTAATTTAACCTAGTAAAAGTTACCTTTTTTTAATACTAAAAATAGCTAAAAGTTTTAGCCTTTTATTTTATTTATAACTAAAGGCTTTTAAGCTAAAAGGTTAACTTCTTAAGGAAAATAGCTAATAATAATATAGGTTAAATACTTAGTATTATTTATAATTTTAAGACTATTTAGGTAAATATAATTCTATAAAGTAAGGAAAAGTCTAGTAATATAGCCTAAAGAGAAGGTTTAAAAAGGCCTTTATTAATTATATAAGGTAGTTAGAATATAGATAAAATTATAAAAAATATAATAAAAAACACACTATGTCCCCTCGGAGAGGAACTTAATCAAGAGAGTCCCTACCTTATGTATTTTAGGTAGTACTTACCTGTCTAACCGTACAGCACGCACGTATGTACCTGCCTATCTATATGTACCTTCCATGGTGGGAGCCGCCGTATGTATATTCTTAGGAAAGAGGTAAGGTCGGTATACATTCAAATTTCAATGCACCTTCCATTTCAAAACCCCGTGCAAGGTAACGTGATGTGGACCATGATGTGGAGAACCTTGATCAGCTTCCCCATCCTGGAATAGCATCACATCGTCTCCGTAACAAACGCCAACCTCAACGGTGAGTGCAACTTCATCGGTTCACCTGCTGGTCCTGGACCTCAAACCTTCCAGACTTCACCTCGGAAGGATAAACAAAGTTTATGATCCTGTTTAAGCTCGAGACTCATCTGCCGAGATCAGGCACGCTAGGGACCAACAGGCACGCGCCAGCAAGCCTCGGGGTGGTGTAACGTTCAATCCTTTTTGACTGATACCATGTTCTCAAACGGATAACTTAAGCTTCATTCAGGTGCCAAGAGCAAGTATGACTTTGACCGTCGTCGGTGGCAGACCGTATTGAGTCTAGAGATGCTACAATACCTGCTGTTTCAGTGCCCCTACGCCGAGCAGCACATGTACTGTGCCATGCTGCCCTGCAATCCCCTCCAAACCGTTTTCTTAGGAACCAATCGTGGCTTTCGAGAATGGCTATCCTGGCTCCGGAGGTGATCCCAATACGTCCCGGCGCCGTGCGATCTTCGCGACGATCGTATAACTTGACAAGCCAATCGCATTAAAGCTTTTGCGGACAGGCTGTTGAGTTTATGTTCTGCGATTTGTGCGAGGGCAGGCAAGCTGTCATAATTTATCTATTCATGTACGATCCAATAAACCTCCGGCCCACGACTGATGTCTAACCAGCACAAGGCGAAGAAATAGCATCTCCTAAACAATGAGGTGTGGGTCGCCCATCTCTTACTTATCAACGCACACACATATACATATGCGTGTCTTTGCACTCATGAGGCGTCTAGACATCTATCCCAAGATCTTGTTGGACCGACCAAGACCCAGGCACTCGGGCCTGGACTGCCCGTCGACGCCACGGGCCTCCCGTCCTCTGTACCCGCCCAAGCCGCGTCACAGTCAGAAATCCTAGTGATATGAGTGGGCTTATGCCCCCCTTTCAGGATTGCTGGAAATCCAGGAAACAAACATGGCACAACACCACGACAAGCAGGCAGGCAAGGCATTCCTTACCACAGTCAACAACCCCACATTGGCTGCCGAACACACAATGAATGCCGGGAGCCTATGGTCCCTACCTACGGACACAATTGCGAGGTCGCTCGGTTCAGCCTCGAAGCACAGACGGGTAATGACAATTGTACGACCATGACCACTTACTTAAAACTCTACCGTGCAGTCTGGGTGCCTGGGATAGTGACGCTTACAGAACTGGACGCCGATCCACAACCCTGTACTGAGGTGTAATTACTTGCTTGAAAGGTGACGGTAGCGAACCAAGGATTACGTTTGATTCATGGCATATCTGCAACTTGCAGATGCCTTTGTCAGTGGCGGGTGCCGTAGCCGCTCTAGCGCTGCCCCTAGCCACAACAACTATGGAGATGGCACCCGTCAAATATCGAGGCTGGACTGTGTCAGCCAGAGGCAAAGCCAAAGAGGAGCGTAACGGCACCTACCAGCGCTGAGCATCCGTCATTCTTGAACTCTAATAGCACCACAAGCCCGAAACCCATCGGCCTGGGTCAGAGCGCTCCAATCTCGTGATCCCCTCACAAGCAGTGGTGAGAGACTATGTGAGTGGCTTCTTACTTTTACAACGTTCACAACCACAACTACAACCAGAGTCGGCAATCTAGCGCCAAGCCACAGAGGCTTACCAACGTTGAGGAAATGCAGATCCAGTTAGGGATAAAATTTTATGCCCATGTCGAAAATTGTGGTCTGGCCTGTTCAGGACAGGGTACTGTCAAGCATGACCACAAACTCATATATGTCTGCTTTCGTGTCGGTATGTATGCGTGTGTAAAGGTAGATGCATATGCAATGATACCCCAGGCTCCGGTCTGGTCCTCGCATAGGACAATCCCATTCATCGCACGTTCTCTCTCAACCGCCTTGACTCCATCGTCCATACAAACAACGAATGTACATAAAAAGGGACATGCAGATGGGGGTGGAAGCGGCGACAACTAGCTGACACTCCACACTCCACATCGAAAAGGCTGCCAAATCGCACACGCCATGGTGTGTCAACAACCATGGACCTGGTCAACTTTCTCTGCTTCTCCAACTGGGTTCCTAAATTGAGAACTAAGAGCCATGGGCGCCAGGTCTTGGCCTCTTGTTGAGTCCCTGCTCCATGTCGATAACCACCCCTGATCCAGGAAGCGGCCATATCCCAGCAACCACCACGAGCCTGTCAAAGCTGTTGATGAGTGTTTTGGGATTGGTGACGTTTCTCTTGTCCTGAACGATACGACGCTAGGTTCTCTCAAGCCAGGCCATTTGTTTCTTCATCTTGCCCCATCCTTCATTCCCCCTGGCTTCTTGATCGCCCTGTGTACCCTGCTCAAGCTCGCATGCCTGAGCCCTTCAGGTTTAGACTGCCCGTCAGGTTGTTTCCTCCACACCTCGAGGCAAAGAAGCCTCTTGGAGAGGTACCTGGCTGTATTGCTTTAAAGAACCTGGTATCCCAGTCCACAACGCTTTGTTCCCACGTCGTTGTCTGTGGCTTGGATGAGTTGGTTTCACTAGTACTGAGACTTCTCCAGTTCAGCCCCGACCACTTTGAAATTCTCCGCTCAGACTGTTTATGGCCCTGTGTCTTCTGGCATTTCCTAACCTGGCTCCCTCGTCTGCGTTGCCCTACGGTTGAGTAGCCCCCACTACATGGGGTTTGGAACAGCCGTCAAGGCCAAACGCCGCCATTATATCTCTGATATACAAAAGGCTTGGGCGTCCCACCAACGGCAATTAACCCACGACTCATCGTTACTCTCTTGAACCACCATCTCCTTCTCTCCGTCACTATCTTCTTGTAATACGACCAGGCTTAGTCTTCAAGACTGTCTGCCTGATTTCGCTCTTTACTCACCAACGCTGCGGTTTCCTGAACTGTCTATTAGATCACCAACGTTGCGGACTGGACGATCGTTCAAGAGTTCCTTGACTTCACACTGCGTAATATCTCAAGGTACAATTCAACATTGATCAGTAATCGGGATTCGAATTGTCCTTCACACCGGGCAATAGATCACGATAACCGCTGCGCGGTTACTCCTCGCCCTGCTCGCTGTATTGTTATGGAAGATAGCCGTTCACTGTCAAATCAGTCTGAAACGAAACCACCACACTCAGCTCCTCAACTTCCCAATATGTCTATGCTTGCTACAGCATCTCCTTCTCCTCACCCTTCATCTTTCGGCATGCCCCGTCCATGGGAAACCGACCGATGTCCCGACTATTCACTTCGACCGAGGACCGAGAACGACAAAGTTGCACTTCCTTCAATTCGACAGGTACATTGCATCGATTCGACAAGCAATCCATTATGTTTAGCTAATATCTCATACAGGCATTCCCCGAATTACAGCTTCAGACCCAGCCGCCATCTACAGGGCCACCCTTGGGCGCACCGCCATTGCCCGCAGCATCTCCTCAATACATACACTCACCCAACTCTAGTAAAAGAAGGCGACTATCAATAGAGCGTGAAGTTGAAATGGAGAGAGTCCGTCAAGTACCACGCTTGTGCTACAGTCCGGATCGAGCTTCACCCAGACAGATTTCACCACATCTACCTATTCAAGGGGGGTCACAAGAGAATTGGGCCGCTCCCACAAGGACAAGCCCTTTTCTGACAAACGGCTCAAACTCCCACTCAGTCTCAATGGAAGTTAGTGAGCGAGCAGAATCTCGTTCGACGCTACCCAGTCTTCCTCCACCACGTTCTTTAGACCGGGAACTACCCGTGGGCCGTGGTACAGTACCTGCAGACGGCTATCGACCACCTCAGCAGTCGATGTCACATTCACGAACCCCCATATCTGAGCCTGGCGTCTCACCATACCGTGAAAACGGTTATGGGTATCCTTACCACCACCCAACACGATATCAGTCACTATCCACTGGATCAGCTCACTCGTATGACCGGACACCTTTTACCCCAGGCACATATAACACGCCTTACCAAGATTTCGTTCGATTTGGGGACATGAGCTCTGCCAGTCTTAGCGGTGATAACAAACAACGGAAGCGAAGAGGAAACTTGCCCAAGGAGACTACAGATAAGCTCAGGGCGTGGTTCGTCGCACACCTTCAACACCCATACCCTACCGAGGACGAAAAGCAAGATCTCATGCGGCAGACTGGACTGCAGATGAGTAAGTTTGGCCGGACTAAACCAAGGACGGAGAAGCCTAGTCAAGACTGGAAACTAACATGTCCACCAACAGATCAAATCTCAAACTGGTTCATCAATGCTCGACGTCGCCAATTGCCAGCCATGATCAACAACGCTCGCGCCGAAACTGACGCCATGACGGGCGCTCGAGGCGGTGACCTAAAGGTCCTCGCCACAACAGAACGGGGTGACTTTGACCACTCCAAACGAGAGCCCGCCGGACCCTTGAGTGATGGTGAGGGCGCCACTTATGACGAGGAACTTGAGGCGTTGAGCCAGCGAAGGCCTGGCACCATTGGTAGGGGCAGCGTCTAAACTCAGGTACTATGAAGATCTGCATTGGCCATTATTTGAATGATCTTGTTTTTTCGGAGCGATACCCTTTTTCGGGCTTGGTATGGGAATAGCGCATTTTATGTTCTTGCTACTGTTTGTTCTTGATGTTTGAGGTTTTAGCCTCTGAACGCGTTTATTAGCGGCGGGATATCCCTTGGGTATTTGTGCTATCTAAAGTGGGAATATTGGTTCTCCCCTTTGGCTAGCCATTGAACCTTTGAGGAGGAACAAAAAGCATGGAGGACGGTCATCAACATTTCAACGAAGAAAACGCGATATATACGATAACAGCGTTTGCATGGAGGATAAAGAGAGGATGGGTCTCCCGGATGAGCATTGGACTCAAAGAAGATTAGACACCTCGCGGACAATCTACGATAATCTAGGGGCTCATGATGACTTTGGCAAAAGGTGAACCAGACGCCTTCCTTGTCAACTCATACCAAATCAAATCAAATCAAATCAAATTACAAGAAAAGGAAAACTTTGCCAATCAGGGATGAGCCAAATACAGACCACACGACTAGGAAGCGTCCGTCCGACAGTGACCTACCGTCTGTGCATGCATGGGTGGGTGTAAGTCCAGGCAGGACGGGCCACAGTTGGATTTTAGTTGATTCACCTATTAGGGACAGCTAACCATACTTGAAAGCTTTGATCTTAAGTGGAAATACCAAGTATCGGGAATTCCCCGACCCCCGGCCACCAATATAATAACATGAGGCAGCCAGTCTTACCCATAGCATCGCTAACGCTCACTCAATACTCGCTACAGAATCCCTATGTTTGGCAATGCAGATTTAGGGGAGCCCATGTGGAGTCAATGGAGAGGATGATCTTAGCCGGGGCTATCTAGAATGCCACCGGTCATGTATAGCGGCAACGGCTAACCTATGTTAGGGGCCACTGGTTTGATAGAACCAACTACCACCTCACTTCAAATCCGATCAGGTAGAGGGGGTCTGCCAAGTTTCAGGGAGGAAAGGAGACCATGTTCCGAGAAGGACCAAGTTGAGGTCCGTGTTGGTGATGTCTTTGAACAAAGAGCCAGTCGGCCGTTTCTGTCATCCTAAACTGGGCTACGGAGGATTTGACGACACTGACTCTGTTAATGCAAGACACACCCGACGGAGATTCTCCGGGGCTCGGAGGTCTGATGCAGCAGGAGAAGGCAAGGTAGGGTGTGGGTGGCATAGATACAAACATACCTAGCTACTTAGGGGGGGAGGCTGGATGGTTGCATAAAAGACGAGTTTTTCAATGACTTAGCAATGATGAGCACACATTCAATAGCAATTATGCATGGCGCCAAGAAGGGAATTTGAACGAGAGAGACAGTGAGAAGGAAAAGAAGGTAGTATCGGATATCCATAGCACGGAGAGGCACGTTGTCTACTCGTCGATAGCAGACAATAGTTCATGGTTGAAGATATGCAGCAACAGCACCACCAACAGCAACAGCACCACCAACAGCAACAGCAACGCCCACAGGTGCGCCTCTGCCGCTGCATGCACATCTAGACAACCTCATGAGGCGGCTGCCTTCCCAAAAGAGTAACTCATGGCTTGTGACGGTTTGCAGGCGATTATAATGCTGTCAGGGCCAGGTCAAGGGCGCTTGGATTGCGGCACTTGCAAATGCCATATCGGGCTTCTAGGAGCGCCCTGAGCCGTGAATGCCGCAAGGACATCCATCTCCTTGTACACAGTAAAGTTCAGTCGAACGATCTACGCATGCCGACCAGCTGGGAACAGGGATGCACAGCGGGCATGAAACATGTCAAGATTGACCGGTGAGGGGGTGTTTGCAGGCAAGGAGGACAGGGCGACAGGGAGACAGGGCCTCTTGTGACCGGTCCAGGTGCCTAATACCCAATATGCAATATGCAAAAGGGCCTGAAAGTTGACTACTACCCCCAGGAGATGTGAGCAGACGGAAACAAGCATAAACCAAGCAACTTGGACAAGACGGCAGATGCACTGTCCACCAAGAGTGGTAATGATACCAACCAGACTATGCATACATAGATCAAGTAGCCATGTTTTGCCGAGCTTCCACATGAATCAGTTAAACACACCGGACCGATTTGACGTCCTTTTCTGTGTCAATTGACAGCCAGCAAGTCACTACTTGTCTTCGATATTCGTTGGAGGCTATGCAAAGCTACCACAATCAGGTGAATTATTTGCCTGTCCGTCTGTCTTCATGGTATGCTCTGGTCATCATAATGTGCAGCAGTCACTCTGTCTGCCCCAGTATGTATTGTGTCGTGAAAGTCATTCGGGCATTGGCCTGTTTTAACAAATCTCACATGATAAAGACCCCATGCAACATTTGGCTGTACGGCTACGGCATGTCTGGTATCCGTTGCTAGTGTTGATATGTTATGGCGATTGCTGATGACCAAGACTCTTCAACATAAGTTCCCTCCGGAATTAAGAGTAATTGACACAAAACGGGCGTTCGCCGCGGCAAGATGCTGGTGGACCATGAGGGGCGCCAGCGACATCTGTGGCGGGCTTAGATGACAGCTAGGCTGAGAGGCGTACCCTTTTTCGTACATATGCTCGTTTGTGAGTACCACTAGGAGGCTAGTAGTCGTTATGGCTGCGTAGTGCAACCGCTCAGATAGACTCTTGAGGAAATTACTCTGGTCCAACTTGAAACTTGGCATGATACCCTAGGCCAAGGAATCTTTTGAGCAGCCTCAGCTGGTCCCTTTAAATTGCCTGTGCTGAACTAAGAAGCTCATTCTTGCACGTATGTTTCATTGACAGGCCGTTCGACGTGATGCCCTGTTTCGCTGGCCCAGAGCACCTAGGAGTGGCTCACCAAGTTTCCCTCTCTTTCATTTCCTTGTCCATGGCACTGGAGCAAACGAGCCGCGTGGCGTGGCTGAAAGACAAGACGTTCCTCAGAACATCCTTGATGCGCCCGCCAAGGCGACATGTGGGCATTGATAGGTGGTTGACAACTGAGTGTCTCAAAGGCAAGCTGATGACTGTGGGCCACAATTTAGCACTGCTCGGGTCCTTGAATAAGCTGGATGATGTTGAACGGAGTTTCCTTCGTCTCTTGGATTCCGTAGTAAAACAAAGTGGCAACTCGCAAGTTGCCGCAAAGACGGCGAGCTACAATACCCTTGATTGATACCTTTTTTTTTTCCGGATCCGCTGAACCGAAACAGAGCGTTGGCATGCGAGCACTCTCATTGCGGTGAGGCTAACGAAAGGACTGAGACAACCTGAGTCTTTCTTCGCGTGGCAAGCATGCTTCAAGGTAACTTGACGTATTCAACTTTGGAACATAAATTCAACGTCAACTGGAGCCTAGGTTTGAGATGCAGCGCCTCACCACCTCTGCAAACCAGGCGGCTTCAATGTAAATTTTGCGGCGTATGGGTGCACAGGGCCCTATCGTCGATCCCTGATCACTCCAGAGCCGCCTCCATTATGTCAAAATGAACAACGTTACCTCTCAGTTCTAACTTTAGCCATTCCAGGGAGACGGATTGACTTTCTTCACTGGCTCGTGCGTGCCCGTTCATCCCATTTTGTGCAATTTGAGCGGTTTCTTCTAACAAAGCCACATTTAATGGGTTCAAGCTGTTGACACGGGTGCCTGATGATGCAGACACCTATGCGGCTAACCGCTCATACTTCTGGGGTCTAGTCATTGAGGCTTGTGCAAAGATGCGCAGGCAGAACCATGAAGGTCACCATCATTTTAGATGGCATTCCGTACGGAGTACTGGCAGGGCTGATATAAGAAGGGCGAGGCGGTAATCCACATCGCCATTTTGTCCCCTGTCAAGTTAATCCCCGAGACCCCGGGCTACTATGTTGATCAGCGGAGCGTATGCTCAATGAGTGCCTGGTTGTAAAACGAAGAGGATGTAAATTGAGAGCAAGAAGATAAGGAACCGTCGATAAGAATCCCCAGCGAGAAAAAGTCCATGCGAAAAACGATCTGTGCGTAAAGGCTATTATCGCCAATGCCTTTCGTTTCAGGGCTGCGACACCCGGGCTTGATTCTGTGTCTCTGAATACCGGAGTTGCCAGAACCGTTGCTCAGGGTTGACCTCGTTGGACTCAACGCCACCACCTGATTGGAAGTGTGGAAACCTGAATGGCGTAGAGTCTAAAACCAATTTAGGGCTGCCACTAAGCTAGGTGCTCTTTGTCGATCTTGGTGATCGGCCGGGCCTTCCAGGACTGCCAATGCTCCAGAGATAGTGTTGAGGCCTAGCTGTGAATCGTCAGCGCTTGTCGAATCGGCAGCAGACGGCTAAGTGCCACACACATCTGTCCATCAGAGTGGGTCTGGCGGCCGTCGAGGCAACTCGAGAAGCCCTGTCAAAGTTCTAGCTCGGCTGATGGAATGACTAGCTGACTAGCTGACATCGGGAGGAACAGGTACGATACAGACCATTCGGATTTCAAGCCCGCGTTTCCCGTCGACAGAGGACAGCAAAGCGCACCGCCGCACTCACAGTACGTATCCGTATGTGCATGTACATATGGCTGGGGCGTGTCAGTTCGTGCCCTCTTAGTCCCTGATCATGTGTACTGTACATATACGGTAGTGGCTAGAGTGGGAGCGATGGCGTTGGCAGCCACAGTTCCCTGCTTTCAAGTGGCGGGAGCCCTGTAATACGGCCGTCATTGATGGCCCAGTGACATCGTCTCATCCCGGCTGTAGCGCGGCAGCACCGAAGGGGCAAGAAGCGTGTTGTTCATGGAAAAGCGCAGTGACTGGGGTTGTGGATGGATGATGCTGCCCTGACACCTCGTTGTGAAGTCAATCTGGTCAGAGAAAGTCAAATTCTAGACTATCATTAGTTATGCAGCGCTTGAAATACGAACGACTTTTCGCATGATGGTGCGGATGAAGACCCTGGCAGCGGTGGTGGTGAGGATGACGAAGACTGACGAGAAAGAGCTGAAAACCTCGTCGGAAAGAATAGAATAGCAAAGTG